CTCATGTATAATACAATCTCATGTTTAATACGATCTCATGTTTAATACGACCTCATGTATAATATGGTCTCAGTGAACTCCTCCAGGTGCATGGTCTCTAAYCTCTGGTTCAGGACAGATTACTTGTTTTACCCAAGCATATTACGTAAACGTCTTCTTCATCAGCGTGTGTATGTGGGGTTTATGTGGTATTATATTCGTTTAAAAGGGTCTCCAAATGGTATTATGGTTTTTCACAATAATTTCTGGGACACAAAGTCCAGTAAAATGTGAGACCACGACAGTCCGAGCTCTGCGTTGTGACCTCGTACCTCATCTGGGCTGGACGCCTGGTAGACCCGACACGTGTCCTCGTAGTGCTGCTCAGCCTCGGCCTGGTCCGTCACACCGTTGGACTCGTACACAGGCGTCACGTTGTGCACCAGGGCGATGGCCTTCACGGCCTCGTGAACTCGACTGCTGATGGTCTTCCTGACCTTGGTGGCTGCTGGAGCTCTGGAGGCTGGGAGGTCATGAGTGGGCTGAGGACGATGACAGAGCATACTGGGATTAAAATAAGCCCATGAATAATCTGAGTGTAAAACAATTCATTCTATAAAGAGTTTTTTTTCTAAAAGGGGGCCACAATCATTCAACCACTGCTCAGATAGTGATCTGTAAACACAGCCAGATGTGCAGAGTAAATATGATTTGCTTTGTGTTTGTGGCTCTGCTATTTTTAGACAGCGGTGCGCTCCAAGGGTTAATGGTTGTGTCATTAAAGTAGTCCTGTCAGTGGGCTGATCCTGTTTCCTGCTTCACTAACCTTTGGTGTCAAGAGGGACAAAGGGTGTCATATGAAATCAGGAAGCATTCAACCAAATAACAATCACAAACTCAGAAGTTACTAAAGACTTTTGCCTTTGTCTGTTTGGTTTACATATTCCCAAGCTTTTAGAGTTCCAATCTTTATTTTTTTTTCTTCTAAATGTTTAATCCTGTTGTCTTTCTTTTTAGTTGCTTTGTCTTACTTGTGTGTAGGCACTGAACACATGGCTCTGAACTTCATCCATAGAGTCCATCCCGTAGGCCACAGTTCCAAGATGGAGGCGCCTGAACACCATCTCATTCTGAGTAAGGGTACCTGGTAGACAGAACAATGAAATGTACCATACAGTATACACAAGTGTCTAACTCCAGCCCAAACTACTACTGTTCATGTAACTATTAGGGGTGTAAGAAAATATCAATACACTGAAATATCGCGATATTTCATTT